AACAGACAAACAGATAAACAGACAAACAGACAAACAGACAGACAAAAACAATATATGCCCGGGATCTATCGATCCGGGCGCATAAAAAATATTGCCACAGTTGGATAGTTTACATCAGTATATGCATCAGCATATGAACTTTGATAAAATATCTAGAAAGTAATTTCTTTGAGCTCGATGGAAAGACAGATGGAAGGGTGGAGGACGGACATGACAAAAACTAATACATGTATTCCTAATCAGGAATTTTTCACTCAAATGGAGACACCCCCACTTGAAAAATAATGAGGACAAGTCGGATTTGAGGTCAACATTCATTTTAGGAGTTTTCAACCATTAAGACGTTAAGAGACAGGAACTCGATCCTTCCCCTCACCCCATCCCAGACCCCTGTTTATATTCATGACAAGTATGCAAACTACTGCTTGTTTTACATTTTAAAAAAATATGTAATAATAGCCTATATACAAATACTTTAATGTGGTCCATCTCTTTGAATGATTTTCATTCCTAATTCTAGTAGGATAGGTTGATGAATGAAATGTCAAGCAATCTTATCATTGATGCACTTTTATTTCATTTAATGCAGTCATATTGTGAACATTTCCAGTTAGAATCATTAGGAGAGTGGGGATGACCTCCAGGGGGTTCAAAACCTTTATACCATTAAATTTACATAACATAATAACACAAAAAGCGCAAAATTATGTATGGTCAAATGGAAAAAGTTTCCCACTATTTAGGAGTCACATAATCATTTGCACATTGTTTACAGGGACTGGAAGTGTATCTTGAGACCCCCCCCCCCCGAATTTGCAGGACTATAATATAAAAAAGACTTTGGATGCCCTCCACCCTAGAAAACAGACACCACCATAACTTCTCCTTTTATTTGCTTCTCAGGAAATTCTGGTCTGGAAGTCCCCCCTCCCTCTCAGAAAAAAATTCTGTATTTTGTAACTGAATGTAACGTCGATAACGGGCGATAACTCTGTAGGATGTGAAATTCGTCTTATTGCAGCATCGGATGACCTTTGATCCTTTAAACTTTAACCTAACCAGTTGCATTTCAGACTATTTTACCCAAATCTATACCAAAACGTGTACTTACCGACTGCCATAGCTCCAACTTCATGAAATATAATCCAATTAAACACAAAATAATTCCAACTGACATACATGCAATGATGTGTACACAACACTAGGCCTAGTACTGCACGTGCAGTGCTATCTAAAAATGATAATGGTAAAACTAGTACTTAAGTTAGGTACGTGACGCAAGCCCAATGTGATGCAGGTCTTCAGATACATTTACAGTATAAGAACAAATTTAAAATTATTATTTACAAAAGATGTTTTATCTTAACTTTGCCATCTAGGCCTATTTCCAAAAACAGGAAAATAGGGTGTGTTTGCGTGTGTGTGTGTTGATGGGAGAAGGGTGGGGGTTGACTAAATTGATTGGGTATACATGGTATATGGCAGCTTTCAAGGTGTTTCTGCCTAATCAAGTATAAAAAAGTTTGTACATTTTGGAAAAAATCATCAAAAACGCTTTAAACTAATTTGAATAATATTTGTTGTTGATCTATATGAGAAAATAGATTTAAAAAGTTCCAATTATGGGCCAAAAATTTTACCCCCCCCCCCTTGTTTCAAACCTAATTTACATCATTAATTGAATTCTGTTGTTTAATTTCAGACTGGTAATGAATTATGAATATGAAATACATGTACCTATAAGATCGAGGCCCATGGGTCACATGTTCACTTGAGAATATTATGCTCAATTTGATGAATACAATTGGAGGCCCTATTATGTAAATTATTAAATTATATTGACTTTTTCTTTGGTAAAGCCTAATTTTAGAGGAGTGTGCATTTAGAGGCAAACACCTTAGTGCGGGTATTACTGTCTCATGACAGCATCTAGTTTTTTATTACTGTTAGAAAGTGTCGTTGACGATGTTAGCTCTGTTACTTTTGGTGTTAAAGTCGGTTTTGTAGTTGATTTCGTTGTAGATTGGGTCGTTGTTTTTGTTAGTTTTGTTGTCGATACTGCTGAGGTTGGTTTAAGAGTTGGTGTTGTTTCTGGTCTTTGTGTTGTTTGTGGTATATCTTGAATTCATAAAAAATTAAGCCATTGTTAAGTAATACTAAAACATGATGACGTAACATAAGGTTTTACCATTTTTTCCTGCCTTAGAATATTCCGAAATAATGTCTTACCATATTGACAAATGTACGGATAGAAGAAGGCTATTTCGCTGTGACAGGGGTAGTCGTGCCACATATAATGATCTGTGACCTTCAGTAGTCCGCAGTCCTCCGCCCCTCCCCCCGGGATAAGCAGGAAGCCGGTCTGGTGGGGGCCCAGGTGTGGGCTCCAGTTATAATACGTCATAGTCTAGTCGCCTACAACGTATAAGGTTTCACATGGAGTTATCATATGTCAATGTCTTGTTGCCAGCGATGTTAAATTGATGGCATTTAGTTATTATATAACACATTTGAACTTATATTTGTCTAGGGTCCTTCGGATGAGACCTTAAAAACCGAGACCCCGTGTCAGTGGCAGGTGTTGGCACGATGAAGATCCCTCACTGCTCAATGGCCCTGAGTGCCGAGTAAAGGCCTAAATTTGAAGCCCTTCACCGGTATACGGTGACGTCTCCATATGAGTGAAAAATTCTCGAGAGGGACGTTAAACAATATACAATTGATCAATCAATCAATATATTTGTCTTAATTCATACGGGTGTGACCAGTCAGTGGGGGATGCTCACACCTCCATTGCACCTGATTCCACTTCTGACGTTTATGGAACTTACCTGACACCCACTCCCACCTCCCCTCGTGATGTTGATCTGAAGCCCCGATCCGGAAGCCCTCATTGATGTGATGGTGGACCTTTCTGAGCTTCTCTGTGATGGAACCCTGCATCTCCGCATACCGGATCTGCACCAGATCCCCGCCATGGCGCTGACAGCGCTCCCGCGCCTGCGGCCAGTCGTGCTTGTCCAGGGAGATCCGCAGGCAGGAGGAACCGTGTATCCAGACGTAGTGTGGGTCTAAAGCGATATCCCGGGGGCAGAGAGTTCTTTAATCAGCCGGTGTAGATAAAGCTAATTAAGGGTAAAAGTGGAAATTTAAATTTACGTAAGACCATGGACATGTATATTCTTACATCATAGGCAAGCCTCGCGATATCATGCAAGTTGCAGGTTTTTTAAAGATAAATTTGAAATAAATATCTTAATTATGAAACATTTCAGATCAAAACCTTAATCTATCTATAAAAAATATTTAAATATTTATTGATGGCACTATTTATACTCCTTATCTTATCAGTTATTGGTTCGTTTATTTAAAAAATAGCACCCGCCCCTGATCAGCCGATTTGTTTGATTTACATTCAAATTATATGTTGATTTACGCTTTTAGATTTACTATAAATCCAAACCCATACATAGAAAACTAAATAAAACAGATCATGTTAATCGGAAATCATGATTTTTTTTCTTTTTTAAGCACTGTATTGTAAAATTGTAATGTTATTTTTTTATCGTCAATAAGTCAAGTACTCGTTGGTAATTGAAATTTGTTGATTAGTTAAAAACATAAGATGTTGCCTATGCGATACGAGGTAAGACGTGTTTTAATCTTACACTACCCATCAGTTTATACAATGTTCTCAATATTATGAACACTAAAGAAACTAACGATTCCATTATATTTAAAATATTTATTTTCCCGTAATCAAAATCAGCCAAAATATACATGTCAATCGATACAGCAAATTCGTATTCGTCCTACATGTACATATCTGTAAATATTTTGAAATGATTAAAGGGGTAACATTTTTTGTAAAGCATATTGAACATATGACTTTTCTCTTTGTATAGAATATCTTTTTTAAAGTTGACTCTTCGAAAAGTTGACTCTTCGGATCTGTTAAAGAAAGTTTTGTACTTAATTTTTATCTGCAATTATAGGTAGTATATAACTAATATATCACTTACTTTAATGAAAAATGCTGAATTTGTCATGCAGTCCACGGTAACAAGAAAATTGAAACCTATAATAATGCTTTTTTTTTAAATTAAAAGGTTTAAAATACCTTTTTACCTTGTGAAATAAAAATAAGAGTATAAAATATCACAAAATGACATCCTGGAAGGCCCATCTTTATCATTACCAAATTGATTACTGACCCGCTAAGCCCGTGACGTCATGTGGTGTGATGGTCCGATGTAAATTTATCAATGGTGTCACTCAACAGCACAACATTATGATTGTTGTTTATGTAAGCATTGCTTTTAAGGTTCATTGATACTCTGATAAAGAGATAAATCTTAATGACATAAATGATTATTATTCCTAAATAGATTTCCCAAGTTGAAATGTCTTTTTTGTCCAATTTTGTCCCACAAGCTATGTTATAATTGTTTGTATTTTACTTATAAAATATATCTCTTTTGGAAAATCATTTAAGCTCAAGAAACATTTTATATGAGTGAGCAGAGGGTTTATGAACCTTTATGATAAGAAATGAGACATATAAAAAAGACATTTATTAGAAAGACATATGTACAATATATGTTTTTGCAAAACAAAAATGGCAAAATAAGAAAAATATAATCACAAGACAAAAGTTATAAGGTATAATGAAACCGGCAAGGAAAGATACATAACGCATTATGCGGGACGGAATGAATTTAAATCTTCCGAAAACTTTCCGAAAACAATTCATTTGCAAATTGCCAATGTACCAGATATTACATGCAAGTAGAAAGCAATTAAAAATTGTGCAATAATATACAACAAATCACACCATCAACTTTATATACAAGTGGTGAACTTATTTCAAGAAAGATCATTTTCATGGCCTCGGAAAGCCATTAGACGATCATTTTACTTTTCTTGATATGGACAGTCCTCCGAGCCTCATTCATGACCTGCTTGTTTGTGAACTTTGCACCCTTGTAAGTTTTTTTGCAGGAGCGTGCACGATGACCAGTTTTCCAACAGTTTTTACATTTGATGGACTTATTTTGACCATAGTGGTTGGTAAAGCATTTGCGACAGGTACAATATGCAATCCTAGGCAAAAAGGTTCCTTCGGGATATGGAGCAATATACAAGAAACTATTCCCGTTGAGAACGCTGGTCATTTTCTTTTTCCTGTAACTGAATTTCTTATATTTTCATAACATAGGTTACTTTTATGTTCAATATTGAACCCATGTGGCATTTTTATGATTTCTCTGTCTTGTCCCAAGATGAATTTTAGGCTCTTCTACTTTCAGAATAGGATCTCTTGAATTCAAAGCACAAAAATGATTTGAATCGTACTTGTAAACAGAATCGGTTTTGTTTTTAAACTAGAAACCTTCGCAATACATTTTTGTCTGCATTCCTTGTTTGTTTAGAAGATGCGCCAAAGTCTTTAGTTGCAGACATTTTAAATTGTCTTCAGCACTCCTTATAATTGACTGAAGAATATTATTGTCTCTTATAGTTTGGTTGTCAGCAAGAATTTCACTGGTTTTTTTTTTAACGAAAACACAAACTGTACAAAAAGACACTAAAGTAGATTTCTTTCACTTCACACTAAAATTCCTGCAATTATTTTGATTTATCATCAAAATAAAACATTGCACATACATCAGAAAGAAGTTTGAAAAATCATAAAAAAAAATATCTAGGATATCATAACCTCCATTTGGGTATTTGACATCTAGATTATGCTAGGTGATGTAATGAAATCTTAACAGTGGGTGTAATGAACCTCCATAACAAAATATTTTGGTAAAAAATAAAACAAAGCCCACATTAACAAATTCGTCTCGGAGCTCGGGTGACAATCTTAAGAATATATATAGTGAATAGTTTATATTTTCACATTTTATTGTTAAACAGTGTGATAGACTGTGTAGTTGAGTCGTCATTACAATAGATCGAGAGATTAGAAACAGTTGTTTACATAGATTTTACAACATAATCGGAGCACCTTTGACCGTTTAAGTTTCTGTCAGGATAGGAAAAAAAAATCTATTTCATAACAGACATGAAGTATTTGCACAAAGATCTTCCCCAAGAAAAGGAAATAAAGAGTTTTGCTGCATTTCTCTTTCCCATATCTCACTCTTTTGAATAATATCTATTTTAAAAAATCTTTCATCTCTCACACTGTGATTAAATATGGCTTTTAAACAATTGATAAATTCACTACCGTTTTTTTTTTATTTTTGATAATGCAATGAAAATCTTGCCATCATCACCATCAAGAAAAGTTTTCTTTTAATCCTTTTGTTCGTATCAAATCCTTAAGACTAGGTTTGTAAAAACACAGTAAGAGGATGATCTTTTAAATCATCTTCAAAGTCCTTTCCTTGTATTCTTTCTTGATAGAAGTTTGAAATTAATTCTCTGTTTGCTTCTACGGTAAAGGCCGATGTTTGGCCTTCCGGTCGGACCAGTTGAAGTATGGCATCTAGGTGGCAGTAACGCATCATCCTCTCCGGGAACAGACTATAAAAGGCATGGAAAGCAGAAATGTAAAGAAAGATGTGTCGAAAGACAACAATCTCATTTGTTTCTTTACAATTACCGCTGAGTTTTGATGTCCACATCTGTGTTATCTCCTCAACATCCAGTCTTTTCAAATATTTTTTTAGATTCGTGTCCGTATATTTCTTTAGATTCGTGCCTTCTTTGAGGACGTTTTCTGAAATCGAAAATTTGTCAGCGACAGCAGATCTAAACTCATTTTCATTATAGGATCCAATCAAAACAATATAAAGAAGGCATTCAAAAAGATTTTTGTCTTTGTTTCCCAGTGCTCTGAAATGTTCGATCATTGTCTGAAGGGGACCTATGCTCACATCTACCAAACCAGGTGCCATAGTGTGATCCAGATCCAAAAGGTCAATTATCAGGTGGCCTCCAATTATGTCAATAGACTTTATGTCTTCTAAACGTAACGATTTACAACGGCATCCGTCAGTCGTGCATTTACGCGTTACGTCCTTTAAATGTCTTTTCACTCGAGTGTCTTTATGCTTTGAACTAGAATCACGCAATATTGTTTGTCTTTCGGGGAAAGAAATGCCAATACCCTCTAAATCCTTTTTATATGCTTCAAAATCATCAGTGCGGAGGCCGATAACGAACTTTATATTTCTCTCTTTATCCTTAGCTCTTTCAATAATCAAACGAAAATTCTCCAACACGAGGTCTTTTTCACAAGGATTCTCATTCCATAATCCAAACCAACCGTCAATGAAATAGACAGTGTTATCATAAAATTCATAACTTTCAGAAAATTCCAAGTACTTTTTATTTTTATGAAACATGTTATGTTTCTTAGCAAAATTCAGCGCTATTCTAATTCCAACTGTAGAAACAGAATTCCCGAGTTTTCCAATGACGTAAAGAATGTTTTGAGAACGGAGAACGTTGATGCCATTAACTATGTCGTCAGCTTGAATAAAAAGATTTACATTCTCAAAAGTGTTTAGAAGTAATATAAACCAAAAAATTAATTTTTTTGAATATTTTTATGATGGATATGGAGATAACGAACAGTATTCAGTCTCAAAGTCCATATATATAACAATACAAAATAAGAGCAGAGCAAACACTGACCCCTGAAATATCAGAGGTAGGATCATTTGCCATGGAGGAGTGAGCATCCCCTTCCGACCGGTCACACCCGCCGTGTGCTCTATGTCATGATCAGGAAATAACGGAAAAAATCCGTCGTTAATTCAGTGAATAAATAATGGACTAACAATTGGTATGAAAAACGTCAGTCAGCATTTGACTTAACGATAAATTGTATTTGCTGACAAGGTCATTGTATCGACCATAGAACTTACGAAATGATGACTTTTAACGAGACTGCGGATATTCTTGTTTCATTAACTTGCTTGTCAATAATTTACCTCAGAGTTTCACTTACTTTCATCACTCTGTAGTCTACGATAACGATAGACTATAATCATGATAACAATCATAACAACTACTATAACACCAGTTGTTATTCCGATTTCAAGGCCCAACGACGGTCTCACAGCATGACTATTTGTAAAAAAAAAAGATAAACTGACGAACAATATAATGATGATGTTGATATTGCCTTCACTTTGAACATAACGTGAAGATAACAACAGTGGAATAAAACGATGTAAATTGGAAAGTAAATTGTCAATCTCAAGCCGACTGATCACATTTGCTGTGTACTCTTTATTATTATACTTGATACCCTTGTATCATCCACTTATTTGTTAATATATGCCTTGTTTTATAAAGTGTTTGTATGTATGTGGAATATGCTCTTTTATTTCAACTTAGTTGAAGAGACATTAGCTACTAATGCAGTGGAATATACATTGTAACATATTGTTACATAAGGACAAGAAGATAGAAAATTAAAGTAAACATCGCGTTTATCATAAAGCCTTTTTTTGAATTTCTCTTAAAAAGATTACTCCATAAAAATATTAGACCGAATGCAGGTGATATGATTATATAGCTGCATTAGTAAGGAAGGTTGACAATTGAAAGACAAAGGCTGCACGTTTGTCATAAAGCTTTGAAGTTATATTATCATTAACGTAAAGTAAGAAACACTTTTGTCATACGTACACTGTGATATTTTTAATTTCAATCTTATTGGGTTGTATCGTGTCAACATAATGAATAACATGCTGCCTTTAATGAAAATATTTATAAGATCCATATGATATTATTAATGACCGACCAACTTCAAACTTACCTAGATCCAGTATCAAAAGTCACCACCCTGTCTGTGTCACCAAAACATGCGCGATCTACAATTATTAATATTTAATGTGCAAGAATAATTCTTTTAGATTTCACTCCCGAGTCTTCCTCAATATATGAATACACATTATATTTATAAATTTAAGATAAAATAAATTAAAGAGAAAAGAATTGATCTCTTACATGTTACTCACTCATTGAATAATATGACTCAATTTGAATTTTCAGCCTCAAGGTTACAGTAAAAGCATTTTGCATTTATTGATATCAATTTAAATATGTTTTCAGTTGTGCTTTATATGGAGCGCCGTAACTGCCTTATGTGAAGAACTTTCATTATATGCTGGTACTTTGTCATTATATGATGGTGTCTTGTCATTATATGATGGTATTTTGTCATTATATGATGGTATTTTGTCATTATATGATGGTCTTTGTCATTATATGATGGTATTTTGTCATTATATGCTGGTACTTTGTCATTATATGATGGTATTTTGTCATTATATGATGGTACTTTGTCATTATATGATAGTATTTTGTCATTATATGATGGTATTTTGTCATTATATGATGGTATTTTGTCATTATATGATGGTACTTTATCATTATAGGATGGTATTTTGTCATTATATGATGGTATTTTGTCATTATATGCTAGTATTTTGTCATTATATGATGGTACTTTATCATTCTATGATGGTATTTTGTCATTATATGATGGTACTTTGTCATTATATGCTTCTACTTTTCATTATATGCTACTACTTTTTCGTCATTATTGGTAGTCTCTATCATTCAGACGCTTGTCTCTATAACACAAATTCGCTGTTCCGCGATAGAATGGAAGCGTCCGTAACGGGATGTTTCGCACCTATGCATGGTTTCGCACCGATTCCGTTTCGCGCTAAGATGGTTCGCCCCACATTGTTGTACAAATTGTTCTAGCCTTCTGAATTTCGTTCAACAAAATCTTAGATATTAAACATGTTATATGATGTAAATTTTGATATTTTTTGAAACATTTTTTCTCAAGAAGATTATATTTTTAGCAGTAACATTATTATTTATGTCTGTGTTTGAAGTATACATAGCATATAATTATGAATTATTTTAACACCATGCTAATTATAATACCGCCATCTAATTAATTATTGCTGGCTTTGACTACCAACACGTCAATTGATAAATTCTCACCTTCTGATCTCCAACTATTTACAATATTAAATCCTCTAATGAACACGATCCGTAATATTTAATTTGGCAGTGCATCTTATTACGTAATGGATTTGAACACTCAACATCTATAATATATGTATATCTTATAACTGTTAAACAATTTTTTTTAAAATGGATAAAAATGTCATGGAATATTTAGAATAAATCGTGGGATGTTTCGCACCTAAATCGGTGCGAATCATCCTGGCGTGAACCATCTCAGTATCATGTTATAAATTTTGAATTTACTTCGGGGGAGGTAAATGCAAAATTTACAACATAATAAGGCCGAACTATTTATCATGCAAAATTTACAACATGATAACTAGTTATCATGTTGTAAATTTTGCATTTACCTTTCCCTAGTAAATTCAAAATTTACAACATGATATCAGTGCGAAACAGAATCGGCGCGAAACATCCCGCTTTCAAAGCGTCTAGATGATCAAGAAAAGAGAGTTTGGAATACGGAACTTCCGGTAAACAAGGCTGGTGGATTCAAGAAGCAACTGAAAAAATGTTGCATATATTGGAAAAACTGCATCAGAATTTTGCGCCATTTTTCCTTGAACTACAATGTAGTTTACTAGTTAACGGTATCCCGATCCCGATGTTAAATCTAATTAAAATCATCTTCATATAATGACAAAGTACCATCATATAATGATGAAATACCACCATATAATGACAAAGTAGTAGCATATAATGACAAAGCACCAGCATATAATGACAAAATACCATCATATAATGACAAAATACCATCATATAATGACAAAATACCATCATATAATGACAAAATACCATCATATAATGACAAAGTACTAGCATATAATGACAAAATACTATCATATAATGACAAAGTAGTAGCATATAATGATAATGTACCATCACATAATGACAAAATACCATCATATAATGACAAAGTACCATCATATAATGACAAAATACCATTATATAATGACTAAGTTCCATCATATAATGGCAAAATACCATGATAATATAATGACAAAATACCATCATATAATGACAAAGTAGTACCATCATATAATGATAAAATACCATCATATACTGAGTAATGAAAGTTCTTCACATAAGGCAGTTACGGCGTTCCATAGCTTTACATTTGTAAACTTTATCACTTCTATAAGACGTATTAGGACATCCCGTTACATTACATAAGTTCCAGTGTAAATATCCAAAGTCTGTGAATATCGGACAATAACCTGCAAATAAAACAAAGCTCAAAACAAAAAAAGAGCAAGAGTAGTTCCATTGTACAAAGCGGGTGATGAAAATCTAGTAAACAATTACAGACCCGTATCTATTTTGCCAGTCGTTAGCAAAATTATTGAGCGTCATGTTTTTAATTCTTTTTATGAATATTTATCAAAGAACAAACTAATAACTGAAAGTCAATCAGGTTTTCGGCCAGGTCACTCATGTGAAACAGCACTAGACAATCTAACAGATAAATGGTTTAAAAACATGGAGGACGGTAAACTTACTGGAGTTCTGTTTATTGACCTGCGTAAGGCCTTTGATACAGTCAATCATAAAGTTCTTTTACACAAGCTGAGGTCATTTGGAATCTGTGAAAATACTTTTAAATTTTTTCAATCTTATCTTTTAAATCGTAAGCAATGTGTCAGTTGGCGAGGTGTTCTGTCTCGAGAAAAAGAAATATCTTTAGGTGTCCCTCAAGGGTCAATTTTAGGACCGTTATTTTTTATTTTATATATCAATGACTACTCAAAATGTCTTAAACACTCGTCAGTCACAATGTACGCATACGACACCTCGCAGGATGTAAGCGATAAATGCATAGACGTTATTGAGAAAAAACTTCAAGAAGATTTAGAATTAGGAATTCAATGGATGATAAAAAAATAAGCTCAGTATAAATCTCCAAAAAACGCAGTGCATGCTTATTGGCACATCCAAAAGGTTACAAAAATGTAGAAATCTTATCATAAATTTTAATGATGTTCAAATTGAATTTGTGAAGCAGGCCAAATTACTTGGTGTTTATATTGATAATACCTTATCTTGGGATGTTCATGTTGATTTTATTTCAAAGAAAATTTTAAGAAAACTTGCTGTGCTTAAGAGAGTGAGTCATTTTATGCCACCGAATGCTTTAATTAAGGTTTTTAATAGTATTGTATTTCCGCATTTTACTTACTGTTCCACTGTTTGGTGCAATGTGAAAAATCAAATGTTTTTAGAAAAGTTGTACAAACTTCAAAAGAGGGCAGCTAGGATACTCTTAAACATTCGAGATATTTTAACTCCTACTACCTTTTTATTTTCCTGTTTAAACTGGATGCCAATCAAGGATTATTTTATGTTTAGACAGGTCACTTTTCTATTTAAGGTTTTAAACAATCAAATGCCAGATTATTTGAATGTGTTTCAACATACAAGAGATGTCAATTGTCGCCAAACCAAGTCGAATGATTTTATGTCAAACATATTGTATTTACCACGAGCCAAAACAGAAAATTACAAACGTTCTTTAAGATATTCATCTGCATTTTTATGGAACAAACTGTCACAAAATGTTCGAAATTCTAGGTCAGTGGATATTTTTAAATCTGTGTATCTCGCTGAGTATTTTAACAGACTCAATACTTAAAATGGATTTTTCCCCAATGTTTGAGTGTATAAAAGATATGCTTCTTCATGGTTATACATGTATGTGTTGTATTTTTTATATCTTGTGTTTATATTAAGATGTTAATTTTGTATATCCTTATGTGATTGTAAATATGTTTTAATGCAGGACCACAATGAAAACTAGCTTTATGCTAATTGTGTTATCCTGGATAAATAAAGGTTATTAGGGTCTTCCGTCTCCAACGGAAGACCCTTCTATTATTCTATTGTTTTTTTTTTTCACTTTTATTAAGGTCTTCCGTCTTCAGCGGAAGACCTTCTTGTTATTCGTTTGTTTCTTTTCCACTGTTTTTCTTACTATTTTTTTTCTTACCGATTTTGTGCACGCGATTTCTCGAAAACGGCTCGTTAGATTTTTATGAAACTTTCAGGTCTGATAGAACGTTAAAAAATCTCGATACCCTTTTTTTTATTTTGATGACGTCACTTCCGGTTCGGAGATTTTCGCAGTTTTGTGATTTTTAAGGGTCAGTTTGTCCGTCGCTCTTCTTAAAAACCGCTCATCACAGGAAGATGAAACCTTTTCAGGAAGATAGAGCAACATATGTAGATTTGCATTGTGTTGTTAACTTTCACCGGAAGTACTGCACGTTAACGCTCGGTATGGACTGAAAAAAGTCAAATTGAGCGTTTCAAAATTTCTAACACTTTTTCTATTATAACATTTTACTTGTAAATATTTTGTTAAAACATATAGAATAAAAGTTGTGAAGAATTCTGAGATCTTTCAATTGATATCTCGAAAAAAGGGCTGACCCCTAAATTAATTGATCTAGAGGGGCCAAAAGTTTTTAATTGATATCTCAAAAAGTATTGAGAATTTGTAATACGTCAAAGAAGCAAAGTTGTTCAAAATGTCAAGCTGAATCTATTTGTATTGTCAGAAAATGTCCGGCGTCGTCACTTCCGGTCAAACCGGAAGTACTCAAAAACGCGTATTTTTGCTGTTCTAGTCAAGTTTTTGGGTAACATATGTCTCTGGGAGCATAAAAATTAATTTTCCATCCGTCGTCATCACTTCCGGTTTAACCGGAAGTAGCAAAAATTTGCATATTTTTGCATTAATTAACATAGCTTTAGAGGATTCAAACCATTTTTAGGCGTTATTTCTAATTTTTGTTAAAAATGAAAGCTACTTCCGGTCAAACAGGACGGAAGACCTACTCGTTGCTTTGCAACGAGCTCGGCTCTAGTTATTATTATTCTTCTTCCTTTTTCTTTACAATTTTTGTGCAGAAGATTTCTCGGAGATGGCTCGACCGATTTACTTGAAAATTTCAGAGATGATGTATCTTTATCTGAACCTTATACTTTTTTTTCATTTTTTTGAAATTCACTTCCGGTCGGAAGTTATCGCCCTTTCAGTGATTTTTAGAGGGTCTCCTTGTCCATGAGTTAACTCAAAAACAACATTAGCTACAGAGCTGAAATTTTCAGCGATGATAGACGACACATTGCTGATTTGCACATTTGATTTCAAATTTTTCAGAAAGGTCCAATATGGAAGCTCGGTAGGGGTCAAAATCTAGGACACGAATCATGAGTGAATTTTCGACACATTTTGTCTCATATCTTTTAAAGTATAATTATTTTGTTAAAACATACTGAACAATATTTGTGGGGAATGCCAATATCTTTAATATGATACCAGGAAAAAAGTGCTGACTCATCACATTAAAGACAAAAAGGGGCCAAAAGAATTCATTCAATAACTGTTAAGCAATCAGTTTTTTGCTATACATTACTGAAGCAAAAATGTTTATCTGAACAATCTACAACTGTATATTATGATTTTCATATCGTATGGTACATAATTAGGGGCCACAAGGGGCCAGAATGCTAATTCTTTGACGCTTTATATCTCGAAAAAGGGAAATATTTTGAAAAGTTATATTGAACAAAAGATGTTTGAAATAATGTTCTGAACAATATGCAACCTTTCATTTTTTGCTAAACGTCCCTCTTAGGGAGTTGAAGGGTTGGCCCCTAAATATTTCTTTTGCGAATAACCCAAAAACGAAAAAGAATCTCTGAATAGTTGTTTAACAAAAGGTCATCAAAATCATGAGAGCTTTCAGATGATATGAAGAAAAAAGGGTTGATCCCTAATGTTTGGGGCCGTGAAGGGCCAAAAGTCGATTTTTTAAAAGTCTTTAATGTTCAATGTCCTTTTACAGATTATGGAAAATCATAATTTTAGAAGGAAAATCTCAATTAAAATCTTTTCTCATCTTGTCAAGAATTGGACGGAAGACCCACTCGTTGCTCGCAACGAGATCGTATCTAGTTATTATTATTATTATTAACTTTCTCCAATAATGCATAATGCTAAAAACGAACAGTATACACCCTAACAAAAAATACTATAGTTAACTTTAGTTTACTATAGATAATTATAGTTAACTATAGTTATAACTTTGACACTTTGAAAAAGTTTATCGAAAACTTGGACACTTTGAAAAACTTTGGCGAAAACTTGACACTATCAAAAACTTAATCGAAAACTTCGATATAATTTGGTGAAATTTTGCCACTTTGGAAAACTTCATCAAAAACTTTGACACTTTAAACAACTTTATAAAAATCTTTAACACTTTGAAAAACTTTATCGAAAACTTTGACACTTAGAAAAACTTTGGCGAAAACTTTGATACTTTGACAATCTTTGACTCTTTAAAAAAGTTTATCAAACTTTGACACTTTAAAAAACTTTGGCCAAAACTTTGACACTTTGAAAAACTTTGGCCTAAACTTTGACACTTTGAAAAAGTTTATTGAAAACTTGGACACTTTGAAAAACTTTGGCGAAAACTTGACACTATCAAAAACTTAATCGAAAACTTCGATATAATTTGGTGAAATTTTGCCACTTTGGAAAACTTCATCAAAAACTTTGACACTTTAAACAACTTTATAAAAATCTTTAACACTTTGAAAAACTTTATCGAAATCTTTGACACTTAGAAAAACTTTGGCGAAAACTTTGATACTTTGACAATCTTTGACTCTTTAAAAAATTTTATCAAAAACTTTGACATTTTGAAAAAGTTTATCGAAAACATTGACACTTTCAAAAACAGTATAAAAAAACTTGACACTATCAAAAACTTAATCGAAAACTTCGATATAATTTGGTGAAAATTTTGCCACTTTGAAAAACTTCATCAAAAAAACTTTGACACTTTAAACAACTTTATCTAAATCTTTAACACTTTGAAAAACTTTATCGAAAACTTTGACACTTTGAAAAACTTTCTCAAAAACCGTGATTGTTTGAAAAACTTTGTTGAAAACTTTGACACTTTGAAAAACTTTATCGAAAACTTTAATACTTTGAAAATCTTTGTCGAAAATTTTGACATTTTGAAAAATTTTGTCAAAAACTTTGACACTTTGAAAAATTTTGGCGAAAACTTTGACACTTTGAAAAACTTTGGCGAAAACTTTGACACTTTGATTTACTATAGTTTACTATAGTAAACTATAATTAACTATAGTAAACTATAGTTAACTATACTTTTTTTTGTTAGGGATGTACCGGGCTCAGGGGGGTATGTCCGGTGAACAAGGGATGCGTACTCCTTCTGGCCACCTGGTCCTATCGCTGGAATTTAAAGGGGCCCATGTTTAATGCCCTATTTATAGTTTTGTATTTTAAGTGGATTTCTTTTTATAGATCGACCACTGATCTTAATCTCGCCTTTTATCCTGCAACTACACCTTGTATTTTGCTAATTAAGGAAACCTAATAAACTGAAGCTTATTTGGTCAATAAAGCCTTAAGCTTGTGCATATATTCTGACGTTCTAAAAGTATTGTAAAGTCACGTATGTTGAAATGTTTACGCTATGGCGTCTTAGTTTCTACTGCATAGATATGTCTAAATCGGATTGAAAATAGTTCATTTTGGAGGTCAGATGTCAATATTTTTTGCAGGATAAACAAAATACATGGTCATTGTCTTAAACCGGCTATCGCCAGTTCTATAAAATTAGGCCGGTTTAGACAGAATCCGGAGTGCAGGAAAAATGCACGAAAATATTAGATTTGAAAATTTCGTTGTTTATTTACAAGTACATAATATACATATTATAAAATATAATTAAACGATGACATCAATCAATATTTTGGAGTTTAGACGTTATTAAAAAGTTTCGCATGACTCACTGTATTTTCTTGTTTGTTCACGAAGTTTGAAAGTCGGGTGAAATGTTACCTAAATCCAAATCTACAGGCACACATAATATAGGCCTACTATAATATCAAGCGGACGGGTTTCGCTTGTCAAAGAGCTCATTCAATCCATAGACAGCAATGCACAATTATTTACGATATGCTTATTATCGGATTGAACTTTTAATTTTTTATGTAAAAATTATGTCTTCCGCCTCAGTGTTATGGCGCCATTTTGAAATGCGTTCGATTTTCGATCCCGATTTATATTTTGATTTGTAAATCGCGTACATATATTTTTATGTCTTTATGTTAAAATGTGGTGAAAGGAGTTAAAACAAAGTTATTTTTTTTTTTATTGTAATTTAATCATAAAATATTTTCAAGTGGGCTGTGTCACCACCCCATTTCACTGAGTTCGTCTCATGGGACTAATCATGCTAATGCAAACACGGATTATCACATCAACCATGACAGGTGTTAATTGCTTTGAAGTAACTCAGGTGTGGCCGGATTAGAGGAAATGATTACCGTTAATTATGAGCAGTTGGGACCAGTTTGGCCGTTCGGAATACAGAATAGACAGTATCAGGACTACATAGATTTTTTTTCTAATGAGTTTGATAAGGAAGTGCATGGGTCTAAAATTTATAGACGGAATTGACAAAAATCCGGAGTACTCAGAGTCCGGATTAGACAAATTTTACTGTATAAGCATATTTGGGTTCTGCAAGCCCCACCCTCGATCATGTTTTCTTACCCTTGCCCAATTATTGCTTTAATTTCAAGTCAGTAACCATGATTTTTATATTTCCATTGTTTTTTAAAAGGATAATAATCTGGAATAAGAGAAGTACACCATTATTTATCCACAGAGTATTTGCATAACATACCCGGTACTATCATGGTAACATCTGTACACCTTTCCTTCACAGAAACTTTGTCTTCAACCAGTAAGCAATGATATACCTCGTTCCCCTGGCAGAAGAATTCTGCCGATCTTTCTTTCCACTCTGTCTCGTTAAATGGACACCTTTTGGAGTATCGCATTTTAAATGTAGAGACTGCAACTAAAAATGTAAAATAATTTTTATACTTTTTTATCTGTATCATTTAAAAAAAAATCTTGGCCATTTCTGTGTGTCAAGGTCGAAGATAAAAACTTGCGCCATGCATAAACTGAATCTTGTGTATTTAATGAAAGGTCTTATTTCAATATACACATGCATGCATTATTATATGGCAATTAAATTAGTACATGTATGTATATTTTTATTTAACTTTTATTTCTGGAAAAACACTACATAATCAAATGATAATAATAACTTTATTAAGACTTCTCTTTATTACCTAATTTCTGCAACCATATATACTTACCTTTATATTGAAATAAAGTCAAGATAATAATCAAAGAAAAACTAATTGGCAAATCATCTCGTCTTCCCATTTTTATTTTTCCTGCAATAGATTTTATTTAACATAATAAAACCACAAACTTGTAACGATATGTTTTAATAGACAGTAGTTATAATTGATATTATTAATAAGCGAACATAATGAAGATCAATTCTTTATTGGACGAATGACATTGCGAATGTGCAAATTAAATAATCTCATGATAAACACTGAATGTAGTTGATCATATCATTTATCAAAATGTATTTGTGATCACTTGATCCACACAGTGATACTAGTATTTAAAATATTTACTTAAGCAAATAATAATAAAATTAAATGATGTATTAATTGTTTTTCAGATACATGTATCTGGAAATAAACAGAAATCTTAATTCTGTTTTGAAGTCTTTTTCCTATTGCCATACTGTAGCTTAAATATCAATTAATCAGTTTTTTGTGCAATTTTAAATTTTTCAATTTAAAATTGGAAACATATTAACACTATTGTAAATTATATGAAGATAAATGAAAATGAAAGGTTGTATTTAACAGTACTGCCGTCTTTCTCTCAACTCAAAAGAACGATTTTGATATATGATTGTTTGTTTGTTGTTTAACGTTCCTCTCAAGAAAACTTCATCCAACGGAATCCAGAGAAAAAAAGTATTTTATCGGGGCATTTTTTTCTACTTGGGATCTACTGCCTTCCGAATTTTCGGAGAATTGAATAGTTTTTGGTTAATGTATCAGATGTGCAGATACAGATGCAATACAGCTAAATAATTCTTACTAATTTCCAATTATTTTGCAATTGCAAAATTTGCTTTATAAACTTCATATGATCCTTTTTTCTGTAAATTTAATATTGAATGATTGAGTTTTCGTGTATTCTTAACCAAAGTTTAATTATCGCGTGATATTTTATTTATGCGTAAAAATTTCATAAATATAATGGATTCTGCTGGAATTACGCCAGACGATGGGCCAAATATAAAAAAGAAGACGCTGACACTTTGTCAGAATAGATTAAACAAATCAGATCCATGTTAAAATCGTGCATTAAAAGATTGAGGGGCAATATGAAAACCATCTTTCGTTCTGTTTTCAATAATCTAGTAGAGAAAAAAATTAGATATATTACATGATCAGTGCGTACTGGCCCCTGCCGACAAAGCAGGTAACAATTTTGCCTTTGTTTGCAAGGCTCATTATATAAATTGTATTTAAGAGGAACTTGGATTTAATTCTACAAGTGGTAATCCTACTTATACTCATGCATACTTCCCTTTCTAAGGAAGAAATTCTTCAAAATCATATATCAGTTTTGAATATTTTTATTAATCCGCAGAGCCAAAATGAATATGAACTACCTTATATATACTGGACTCGGATACTTCATAAGAATCCATACAAACAAAGATACATTGAGGGTTCCAGTAAATGTTCAGCCAAGACTCTTTCGTTACTCCTCACCAAGATATTGGCAGTAGTGAAGGAAACACTTCAAGGGAATCAGATGTGGATACTAAAAAATTCCAATTGAAAGAACTTTTGGACAATTTAAATCACAAGATTTTACCAAAATCGACAGCTTAAAAACTTACGACTTTTCAACTTTATACACACTACCCCCAATAAAATACATACTTTTTGATTTCATTAATGGCTGCTTTTTCAATAAAAATGGAAAATTTACTTACCTGGTCATTGATTATTTGCAAAATTATTTTGTTAAAACACATTCTGATTACCCACACAAATACTTTGAAGTTGACATTAAAAAGATGCTTGAGTTTCTAATTGACAATATCTATGTAAATTTTGGAGACCAGGTCTTCCAGCAATCTATTGAAATTCCCATGGGTGCCAATTGCGCTTCGTTATTAGCAGACCTATTATTATATTCGTATGAAGCAGAACTTGTGCAAAATCTTAGGCGCGAAAAGAAGAAAACAATTCACGTATTGTCAATAAACAATGGTAATTGCCATTCCTATGTCGATACGATATATCCTGGTGAGCTTGAGATAAAAGATACCACAGAGTCTGACACATCTGTTTCATACTTGGGTACTTTACTTGAAAAAGACGTTATTGGTAATCTAACAACCAAGCTATATGATAAACAGGATGACTTTACCTTTTCTATCGTCAACTTCCCTTACTTATGCAGCAATATACCTTCACCTGTATATATCTCAGTTGATTCGATAGGCAAGAGCATACTCCACATATGAACACTTTTTAAAACGGGGTGGATTATTGACAAGCAAGTTGATTAAACAAGAATATCAGCAGTCTCGTTTAAAGTCATCATTTCGTAAGTTCTATGGTCGATACAATGACCTTGTCAGCAAATAAAATTTATCATTGAGTCAAATGCTGACTGACGATTTTCACACTAATTGTTAGTCTATCATTTATACACTGAATTGACGACTGATTTCCCGTTATTTCATGTTGATGACGAGGAGCACAAGGCGCATGTCACCGGCCAGCAGGGGATGCTCACTCCTCCATGGCACCTGATCCCACCTCTGATGTTTCGGATGTCTGTGTTTGCTCTGCTCCTATTTTGTATTGTTTTATGAACTTTGATACTGAATACTGTTAGTTCTATCCATATTCATCTTCACTTTTGCTAATGTGTTCAGAACCTTTTATTTTTCTGTGATTTGTAAATTATAAAACCCGAAGAGTTCAGAGTGGCTCTGGCAGTGGCTCTCGCAAGAGTTAGCGAGACCTTAGCGAGATAGGGTAAATTATTCACGGAAGTTTTTGCTAGGAAGTGACTAAAATCAGCTAAATGAAAATTGCATCATGAGTTTCTAAGAATACTACAGGAATTTTACGATTTCAATAAAAGGAAAATCTAATGGCTATCGGAAAGATTCAAAGATCATTTTTTTTCGTCCATTTCGTTCATAAAAAGCATTCTAATTTTTTTTTATTTACATCCTCACAATGAGAAACAATTCATTTGTAAAATAAACGATGGAAGTCAAGGTTTTTCAAAGTCTTACTGCAAAACTATTTGCGTCTTTTTCAAAACACCTGATCACAACATAGGCCTCGGAAGCAAATTGAAAGGACGGGGCTAATTGGAGGAGGAAAAAAATTCCAAGCAAAAAAAAAACTTGGTTAGCAAAAAAAATTAGACAAAATAAAAAGCAATAAAGAAATAAAATTATTCTATTGCTCAAACACGAATTGGGGTGGGAGGGATTTGGATAGAATTTTCGTACATTTTTTAAACAATACCATTTACCCTTCTTTTACTTTATACTGCAACATGTCTGGAAGGGTAAACCTACAACCCAATGTTCAATACCTATAATATGTGTATCATTGCAAAAAAGGTGGGGGTAACTCCTATGCCTATGCTCACGAGTAGAGTTATGTAAAAAAAAAATGTTATGTCCATTTTAATGGATAAGAGATGCTGCTCGTTTTCCTTGCCCTTGATGCGCAGGTATTCTGAACTTGACACTTACTAAGTGCAATTCATAAACATATATTTCTAGTTAACAACAAATTAAAAACGCCTGCGACATATTTCATTATTTCTCATCTTTGTATTTCATCCATATAAACATTCTTTTAAAAATTTTGCACCCCATTGACGTAATCATAGATTGACTTAAACCACATGTTTGAATAAAATCTAAACATGTATTTTGCTAGCGTTGCTGTTCATTCAACGATTGATCAGTTACTCATGGTTGGATACTCTGTGCACATTACTAACAATAGCCATATAAGGCAAACAAAGGTTTGTCGGTGTAGGTGCTATTACACATTTTTACCAGCGTATCGATCGCTAGAGAGCTCTAAGCTTCGCTGAAAATTATGATAAGATTGTTATTTTAGACACCCCCCCCCCCCCTTTAGCCTTTAGCTTTTCTGTTGAAAATCATGAAAGTCTTTCAGAAAGCTTTGGAAATATTTTTCACAGGACATGTTTTCAAAAGCAATAGACTGTATCAATCTCCTGTTTACCGCCAATTTTATTCATAAAACTGGTTCTACCCTATAACATTTGAATAGGTCAACCTAAACAATGTGTCTTGACTTTAAACCACATTAACAACTGTAACGGTGATCTTTCAACTGATGAATGTATTCATCCCTCATCTAATAAAGCTCATCGTGTCCTAATAAACTCAAGCACGTTTAATATATAACCACCGGTATAAGCATTATTAGTTATTTGTTATAATTTAATTTTAGTTGAAACACATTAATTTATTGGATAAAAGATTTAATTCATTTTGTATAATAACTTGCCTACGTCACAATGAGTTATGTAAAAAAAACCGTAATATTTTTCCTTGGCATTACTTTCAAAATTTACTAAATTTGAAGCCTATTCTGGAGGAAAAATTTTCTTATTATCTACACTGAAATCAAATTATATGGAATAGAGCTTATTTCATTATGGAGTTTTATGAAGAGACTTACTTTTACAATTGACGACTGACTTCTACAATTTTTACAGAAACAAACTCCAATTACTAAAATGTAAAAGTCAGCTGTCGAATGTAAAAGTAAGTCTATTCATAAAACTCCAGTATGAAAACGATATAACATATCTTTTTATAAACCGATTCGCGGTTTATATAGCGTTAACTATCCCAAATTGTATTAACAAAACATATTGACATACATTTTG